TTTCTTTACATTAGGTCATTCTTGCTGACACATGTATTGGCAATGAAATTGACAGGATTTGGGACCGAGAATATTTGCCTCATTCCTTCGGTTGTAGTTCTTTTATCTTTCCCTTAATAAAGATGGGCTTCTATGTCTGTTGTTGTTGTTATGTGCTGTTGATTCAGCCCTGACTCATAGAGACCCCTCCTTGGGTTTCCGAGGCAGTATCACTAAGGAAGTAGATTGCCCAACCTTCCCTTCAGAGGAGTGGCTGGTGGGTTTGAACCACCAGCCTTCTGATTAGCAGTCAAGTGCCTTAGGCACTATGCTACCAAAGCTCCTCTTCTATGTCTACTGAACAGATTTTTAGGATTGTCTGCTAATTGAATGTGAATGTGGCATTTATTTGTTTATTTATTCATTCATTCATCAGTCCTTTGCTGAAGACCTATTGTATTCTGTCAGTATGCTAGGCCCTTGTTAACTTCTGCCCCCACCACAGGGTGAGCACAGAGGAGCAAAATGCTGCCCATTCCTGTGCCGTCCTTGTGCTGAGTTACAGATTGAGCTGTTCTGCTCCATACAGTTTTCACTGATGGATTTTTGGAAGTTGATCCCCAGGCCTTTCTTCCTAGTCCATCTTCATCTGGAAGCTCCTCTGAAACTTTTTTAGCGTAAAAGCAGCAATCAAGCCTCCACTGACGAACAAAAAGCTGTGCATGAGGTGCATTGCCTGGGAATCAAACCCAGATCTCCCACATGGAAGATGAGAATTCTACCACTGAACTACCAATGTAGAGTCATGGATCTAGGATATGAACCCTGCTCTCAGTAAGCACATAACATGAGGGGAGAGAGACATAGAAACAGATGATGCAATACATCCTGGTGATTATAGCACAGGGCACAGGGAAGGTATCTTACCAAACTGGGGTAGGTGGGGAGAGACTTACAGAGGACTGACCAAGAACACGTGCTCCACAGAGGTTCAGAGACGACACAGAGCATAATTTGTAAGAAGACTTACAGATAGTTTATTGGCTGGAATGTTGTAAGCTGTGTGTAGGGAATTGATTGTACTTTATACAAAAATTAGCTCACAGTGGATCATAGATCTAAGGTTAAAAATATACAACTATGAAACTTCTAAAGGAAAACATAATAGAAAATCTTCGAGACCTTGGTAAAGGTTTCTTAGCTACACCACCAAAAAAGCACAGTGCTCAAAAGAAAAATCGATAAATTGGACTTATCCAAAATTTAAAATATCTGCTCATCAAAAGACACAGGAAGAGAATGAAAAGGCTGCAGATTGGGAAAAAAATTTTGCAAAACATTATCTGATATGTATACATTCTGACTTATATCTGGAATATGTAACACTCATTCAAAAAACAACACACTTTTAAAAATGGGCAAAAGGATACTTTATCAAAGAAGATGCACAGATGTCAAATAAGCACAGGAGAAGATACTCAATTTCTTTAGTCATTAGGGAATTTGATATTAAAACTACAATGAGCTACAACTACATACCTATCAAAAAGGCTAAAATTAAAAACTGACCATAACAAGTGGTAGTGAGGATGTAGAGGAACTGGAATCCACATATCCTGCTGGTGGGAATTTCAAAAGACACAACCACTTTGGAAAATAGTTTGGCAGTTTATCACTAAATTAAACACATGCTGACCATATGATCTTGCCATTCCACTTGTAGGTATTTATTCAAGAAAAATGAAGCCACATGTCCATAAAAGTCACATTCATAAATGGTCTTAGCAGCTTTATCTGTAACAGCCAAAAATTGTGTGGGTGGGTGGGGGGGTCATCAGCAGGAGAACAGATAAATAAATTGCAGTACATCCATACAATGAAATATTTAACTCAGCAACAAAAAAAGAGTGAGCTATTGATACACATAACAATAGGAATGAATCTCAGAATAATTATACAATAAAGTAGATCCCATATGTAAAATTCTAGAAAATGCAAATTAATCTTTAGTGATAGAAAGCAAATCAGTGATTGCCGGGGAATGGGGTAGGACGTTTGGGGAAGAGGAGGGACTGCTAAAGGGCACAAAGAACATGGAAAATTTTGGAGGGGATGGACATGTTCACTATCTTAATTGTGGCTATGGTTTCACAGGTATATACATATGTCAAAGCATACTTCATACTTTAATTATGTGCATTTTATTGTGTGTTGTTAAAGATCATGAGGAGAAAAAACATTTAGAGTAAGATCAGCTTCTTAAGCTTTTTGCATCATTGAATACTAAATTCAGTGAATTCATTAAATATATATATTTTTTAAAACTTATAATCACTGTCTTTAATTTTTATTTGAAATATCTTGTTTACACAGTTCTGTGCTAAGCGAAACATGTCCCAGCCTGAGGCATTCTATCAGTATATACCAAAAATCAAACTCACTGCCATCAAGTCAATTGTGACTGATAGTGTCCTGCTTTGGGTTTCTGAGGTGGTAAATCTTTATAGAAGTAGATTGCCCAGTCTTCTGTCAAATGCTTTAGGCACTACTCCATCAGAGCAATGTAGTGGAAGATAAAACATCTACATCTCATCAATTTAGTCCCAGACTCAGTTCTATTTAAGAAGTATTTGTTTTGTAGTATGGAGTCCCTGGGCAGTATGAGCAGTTAATGATCCCCAATGCTAACTGAAGGATTGGAGGCTCCAGTCCACCCAGAGACACCTCAGAAGAAAGATCTGGCTATCTATTTCTGAAAACCAGCCACTGAGAACCCTGTGGAGCACTGTTTTACTCTGACAGGCATGGGGGCACCATGAGTTAGAACTGCCTGATGGCAACTGTATTTTGTTTTTCTTTTTTTCCGGTTTGACTTTGTGTAAGAGCATAAAAGTGATGGATAAAATAGGCAAGAGGGGATACTAGAGAAGGGATGACATCCAGGTTGAGTTTGCAGGTTACATTGGAATCCTCCAAGACCTTGTCATTACCAGAGATAGCGAGTGAGGAGCTTTTCTGTTAGAATCCTCTGCATGAGCCAGAGTCCACACTGAATTTGCAGACATCCATCTTTGAGACTACAGGCAGCTCTTTCCTTTTGGATAGCAGGTTAGCCCTGTTGCTATCAACGAAAGTCCACTTGAAAGAGGAAGCTGCTCTGATCTGCTCCAGCTCATCCCCACAAGAGGAATTCACACAGCATTTAGATTCCCTTCCCTGGGAAACCTAGGGTGAGGTTCTACCCTCTCCTTAAGAAGATTCTTCATCTCAGAAGGAGCCCAAGATAAAACATTTTCCTTTCCTTTCTGTGTTTTGAGGGCTGGAACCCCTCTTGCCTCACTTCTGTCGAGCTGTCTTCTCTTGATGACTTTTCTCCCTTCTCCCATCCCCTCTAGTCCATGCCTCTCTCGCCCAGAGTGGACCCTTGTGATGTGCCTTTTCACCGGAGGATTCTACTCAGGGACCAAAGTATGCCTCTCATGCAAGCCTCTTTGGGATCATTAGTGTTGACAGCTTGTGCTGACTCTGAACTGACTTGGTTGACTTCATTACCAGCTAGTTCAAAACTTGACCACAGCTGTTTCCAGGGCCTTATTTATATGATAGGAATCCCTGGGTGATGCAAATGGCTATGTGCTTGGCTATTAACCAAAAGGTTGGAGGTTTGAATCCACCTAGAGGTACCTTGGAAGAAAGACCTACTTCTGAAAGATACAAAATCAAAAATACCCATTGCCTTCAAGTCATTCTGATGCACAGTGACCCTGTAGGACAGAGTAAAACTTCTCTGTAGGGTTTCCAACGCTGTAACTCTTTACAGGAGCAGACTGCCACGTTGCTCTCCTGCAGAGCAGCTGGTGGATTTGGACCACTGACCTTTGGGTTAGCAGCCAAGCACTTAACCCCTGCACCACCAGGGGTCCTCTCTGAAAGCTCACAGGCATTGAATATCCATGGAATGTCATTCTATTCTGAAATACATGGGGTCACCTGGAGTTATATTGACTCAAGGGCAACTGGTTGGGTTTTATTTATATGGTGACCATATATCCCATTTCTTTATATGAATTTTGGTACCACACCTTTTATAAAACTAAAAAATCTAACAGCATTTATTTTTCAAAAATGAACAATTCACTCATTTTCATTAAGACACAAATGTAACTAGCAAAAAGGTTTTATGCCAGAAATAGTTTCAACCATACTGATGGTAACTATAACCAAGAAAAGTAAGGTATAGGAATTGAAAAAGTTTTTTTAGCTTTCTGCTCTGTTACAGGCCCTGTACTAATGTGGTTTTTTTTAATGTTATCTGGTATATTTTTACCCATACACCTTTAGGGAGCTGTTTTGATATCCTTATTTTAAAGGTAAGGAGTCAGAGCTTAGAGAACTTAGGCTCTGCCTCCCTCTCCCTACAATAAGGCAAAGATTTGAATGCAGGTTGATTAGACTTCAGAGTCCTTGGGTGGTGCGAGTGGTTAACATGATCAGCTGCTAACAGAGATGTTAGAAGTTCAAGTCCACCCAAAGGTACTTTGGAAGAAAGGCCTGGTGATCTACTTCCAAAAAACCAGCCACTGAAAATCCTCTGGAGCACAGGTCTACTGTGACACACATAGGGTCCCATGAGTCAGAGTCAATTCCATGGTAACTGACTTTGATTTCACTTCTGACCTTGGCACCAGGCCACACTGCTTCTCCAGCTGGAAGTCAACTTATATTTAAATGATAATTATTTCTCCACCTCCTCTATATAGTCAGGCATCACTCAGATTGTACATGCAAGGGGGAAAAATTAAAAGTGACTTGATCTCTGCATGCCTGTTCATTTACTGATCAAAGAGAGTTATGGGAGGTCAAGGCTAATGTGCTTTTGCAATGTTAACCCCAAAATTTCACTAATCACGATGCATCTGGACCTTGTGATGGGGAGTGGTTGCTTTTGGTTCATCAGCAGAAGAGATTGTCTCTAAAAGACTATATAAAAAGTATTCAAAATAATGTATTTCTTAACACAGAGATTCCCCTGGATGAGTGCCCCTATTCAAGTTGGATTAGTTGGCTTTTGGTGAGTAGAAGTTCCTGTTACATCATTAATTGCTTTTTAAAGATAAACGTGCAGTGTATGAAAAGTAGTAGTGAGGGTAGATAATACGGGACACACGTTTTAAAAATGAGACTAACCCAGAACAATTTGGAATTCAGGGTCCCAGTAATTAGATATAATACACTGTCTTGGAGAACACTGGCTGTTCAGTGGTAGAATCGTTGCCTTCCGTGAGGGAGACACCAGCCAATATAGCTCATACACAGCCACTACCTGTCTGCCGGTAGAGGCTTGCATATTGCTATGATGCTAAACAGGTTCCAGTGGAGCTTCCAAAGATGTACTAAGATGAAAGACTGGCAACATACCTCCCCAAATCAGCCAATAAAAATCCTATGGCTCATATGGTCTGGTCTGTAATCTATCATGGGAGGACCGAGCAGCATTGTTTTCCTTTGAGAATCGGAGCATCATGAGTCAGGGGCCAACTCAACAACAGCTAACAATAGCACACCATCATTAGGATAACCTGCAACATCTGGGACTCTTATTTCTGAGGTTCTTTTTTAAACTTCTATTGCATCGTTCATTTTTTGTCTCATTATTTTGGCAATTGTAGGAAATAAAATTACACAAGCAGGACTTATCTGTGTGAGGCAATATGATGCTTTAAAGAAAGAAAGGGTATTGTTCCATTAATAAAATGGAAAAAAAAAATCTGAAAAGTCAGCTGTTTCTAAGGTGCACTGACTCTTCTTTTCTCTCTTTGTTCAAGTTTGGTATTTGCTACACCTCTCTGTTGTGCTCTGTTTCCTCAGAAAAGGTATGTATACATTACTCTCAGAATGATCATGATTTTTAATCCTGAACACAGTCACAGAGGCAGATGCTGTTATTTCATTTCATTGGCCAGAAGTTGCGACTGAAGAACAGTGAAGCCAAAGTCTGTAAAAGAAATAGAGGCAAAAATCAAACCCAAGTCTGTCTGATTTCAAAACTCCTTACCAGCTCTTTATCTACTCCTTACTATCAAATTTGAAAATGTTTTATTCTTTAGAAAGAGTCAGGTTAACTCTGGTACAAATATGCTCTTATAAACATTTAAATATAGCCCATTGTCGCCCAATCCCTTGGCAAATGCATCTGTAATACAGATAAGTTAAAATTAAGTGTCACCCCCAGAGATGGCAATTACATGCACTTAGCTGAGGTAGTTGGTACATTTGCTTCCCTTCTTCCTACTTCATTTTTTAATCTTAAAAGCCTTAATGTGCATGTGTCTTTTATCACAAGCTGCCCTTGAATCCTGCCTCTGATGTGAGAACTGGATTGACAGGCATTAAATCAGCATTATATAAATCTGGGTCATCAGCCTCCTCCTAATCTAGCATGAAGGCACAGAGAAGCAGCATCTTCTTGTTTTTGCTTTTTTAATGTTACCAGGCCCCAGCCTTTGTATTAGCATTTCCTTCAAGGGCTAAGCTGTCCCAGACATATGATCTTTAATGCCCTAAGCTTACAAAGTACGTTTCAAATGAGGTGTTCTGTTCTACAACTAACTTTATCGGTTTTCTCTGCCTGATAGAATTCTACCTTGTATCTGCTCTTCTGCTTTAGTCTTTGACCCCCATTCTTGAATAAAGGAGTTCTGGTGGTGCAGTGCCTAAGGCATTTGACTGCTAACCAGAAGGTCAGTGGTTCAAATCTACCAGCCCCTTCACGGAAGGAAGACAGGGCAATCTACTTCATAAAGATTTACTGCCTTGGAAACCCAATGGGGCTTGCTATGAGATGGAATTGACTCAATGGCAGTGGGTTTGAATTTGGGTTCTTGAATAGGAGTCCAGATAGCACAGCAGTTAAAACACTCAGCTGCTAACCAAAACTTCAGTGGTTCAAACCCACCAGCTGCTCCATGGCAGAAAGATTTGGCAGTCTGCTCCCATAAAGATTACAGCCTTGGAAACCCTATGGGGAAGTTCTACTCTATCCTTTAGGGTTGCTATAAGTTGTAATCAACTGGAGGGCAGTCAGTTTTTGTTCTTATAAAAAGAATCCCCAGGTGGTACAAGAAGCCCTGGTGGCACAGTGGGTAAGCCTTCAGCTGCTAACTGAAACCTCGGGGGTTCAAACCCACCAGCTGCTTCACAGGAGAAAAATGTGGCAGTCTGCTTTCGTAAAGATTACAGCCTTGGAAACCTCATAGGGCAGTTCTACTCTATCCTATAGGGTTGCCCTCAGTTGGAGTCAACTTGATGGCAGTGGGTTTATGGGTGGTACAAATGGTTATCTCTCTTGGCTGCTAACCAAAAGATTGTAAGTTCAAGTCTACTCAGAGGCACCTTGGAAGAAAGGCCTGGAAATCTGGTTCCCAAAGGCCACAGTTATGAGAACTCTATGGAGTACTCCGAGCACTCTGGAATGCTACTCTGATGCTTGTGGGGTTGCCATGAATCAGAGTTGACTCAGTGGCAGCTGCTTTGGCTCTTGCATAGGGATGTAGGTGTCGGGGGGAGAGAGAATCCTTCATCACCTTGAGACCTGCAAGTGAGCCCGTGGAGAGGGCAGAGCCATCACAGCCTGATCTCTAAGCTCATCTGTAAAGTGAAGAAATCTTCCCTACTTAATTGTACAAACCCCAGAATCCAAGGCTTAACCGAAGAAGGTTGTTTCTCTAATGTGTGACAGTTGAACACCATTGCCAGCAGCTGGCCTTGTTCTCTGTGATTTAGAAACAGTGTTTGTAAAATGCTGATGAAAGTGTCTGATACACAATAACTCTTAATAACTCTTAATAAATGTAGCTGTTACTATTTGATCTTAAAAGACTTTTAGATTTGAAAATTGGTAAAGAAGCTCTCTCCTTGGGCTTTAATTTCATTTAAAGATTTTGCTTGAAGAAAACATATCTTTTTCCCCCCTCATTTATTATATTTTATTTATTTAAATTTTTATAGTGATTTGGGTGAAAGTTTACAGAGCAAATTCATTTTCCATACAGCATTTCATACATATTTTGTCTCATGATATTGACTACAGTTCCCACAATGTAACAGCTCTCTTCTCACTTCCTCCCTGTACCCCTCATTTATTTTTATGGTTAATTTGAACTCTAGGTATAGAAATTAAAACTTTTCTGTCACTACTGATATCGTGAAGTCACATGCCCTTGTAGAATGCATGATTTTACATTTGGGAGACCAAGAATCCTCTTGTCTTCCTCTATTTAAAAATGAAGCTTATTAGTCTGTTTTCTTTTTGTTTGTCTGGGTATTTGAATGTATGTTTTTCTTTCTTTCTTTCTTTTTCCTTTTCTTGCTCTTCAGTTTCACAGAGTAAAGTTAGTCATATTCCTTGGCTCATAGCACACTATCCTCATTGGTATAAATATGACCTTGTTTTATTTTATTAGTTCTTAAATTTTTAATTATTTTTTTATTTTATTTGTTTTAATGCTACAGTGGCCATCCATGAATCCACTCCCCAACCTATGACAAACATTATATGATAAGTTACCTCTTTGTATGGGCTTCTTTCATCCTACCTCCCTTGCAGATTTAACTATGGTCCTGGATTTTACATTTATCATGCTCTCTTACATTTTAAAATTTTTCTCACATATTTATGCCCTAGGAGCTCTGGTGGTGCAGTGCCTGTGGCATTTGGCTGCTAACCAGAAGGCTGGTGGTTCAAACCCACCAGCTGCTCCACAGAAAGAAGAAAGATGAGGCAATGTACTTCTGTAAAGATTTACCACCTTGGAAACCCAATGGGGATCGCTACGAGTTGAAATCAACTCAATGACAGTGGGGTTTTTTGGTTTATATATATATGTGCCTAACATGTTGTTATTTAGTTTTATTTCTTTCAGAATTTTTTATAGAAGCATTTCAAACTATATATAATTTTCTGGCACTTCCTCTTTCTATTCAGTGTCATATAATCAAGATTCATCCACATTATTGTAACTACAGTACATTTGTTTATGTTGTTGTTGTGTGCCATCGAGTCAGACCCGACTCATAGCGACCCTTCCTTGGGTTCCCGAGGCAGTATCACTACAGAAGTAGATTGCCCCATCTTCCTTCTGAGGAGTGGCTGGTGGGTTTGAACCGCCAGCCTTCTGGTTAGCAGTCAAGTGCCTTAGCCACTATGCTACCAGAGCTCCCACATTTCTTTATACTGCTGTGTAATAGTCCATTGTGTGAATACACCACAATTATCTACTCTCCTGCATGAGTGAGTGATAGTGAAAACACTCTTTTTCAGACTTCGTGGAAGCAGCTATAATGTCGCTTTGAGAGAAATATATATATAGCTTTAAATGTTTATAGGAGAAAGGAAGAATGGCTGAAAATCAGTGCACTGAATGTCCACCCTGAGTTTAAAAAAACAAAGAAGAAATGCTAGAGAAAAAAAGCAGAAGGATGGAGATATTAAGAGCAGAAATAATTAAAACATAATAAAAATTATAGGATCAACAAAGTCAAAAGTTGGTTCTTTGAAAAAATAGCAACAAAACAGACGATTGTCTGGTGAGATCAGTCAAACAAAGAGAGGGAAGGCACAAATAAAGAATATTCTGAATGGTAAAGGACATATTATTATAGAGTCAACAGACATTGAAAATATATTAAGAGAATATTTTAGGAATCATTATACCAGTAGATTTGGAAACAAATGAAATGTACAAAGTCCTAGAAAAATGTTAGCAACAGTGAAAAATTAGAAAGTCTGAATAGGCTTATAGCTGTTAGGGAAGTTGAAGCATTATTTTAACTTCCTCCCACAGAAAAAATATAAGAACCAGGTGGTTTTACAGATGGGTTTTACTCAACTGTCAAACAGATTATTTCCATTTTAAACAAACTCTCCTAAAACAAAGAGAAAACTTCCCATTTCCCATTGAGGTGTGAATAACTTGAATTCCAAAATCAGATTTGGCCTTTAGAAAATAATAATAATTATTACAGGCCATTATAGATCAACAGAAAAAAACAAAAGTACAAAGAGGCAGTATAGCTTGGCAGTTAAATACAGCTGAGTGTTTGGATTGAGAAAGACCTGGCTCAAACCTCAGGTTTCCTTAGCTGTAAAGTTAGGATAATACCCAGCTTTCAGGATTTTTAAGGAGCTCTGGTGGTGCTGTGGTTAAGGCATTGGGCTGCTAACCAAAAGATGGGCAGTTCAAACCCACCAGACACTCTGCAGGAGAAAGTTGAGGCAGTCTGCTTCCACAAAGGTAAACAGCCTTGGAAACCCTGTGGAGGTCACTGTGAGTCAGAATTGACTTAATGGCAATGGGTTTGGTTTGAGTTTTTATAGAGTTTTATAAGGATTAAAATGCATAACGTCTGGCCCCATGAATGATCAATACATGCTAATAACATTAGCAGCAGCAGCATTGTCACCATTTCAAAATTACCCAAAGTCCCACTACCTGGAAAAAAGCAACTGTTAGCAATGTCTTGTTTTCTAGATTTTTTTCTGTGTACTTTTATTTGTTTTACATAGTTTTATACAGATTTAAATTCTGACTTTTCTCACCTCACGCTTTACCACATCTCACTTATATTAAAAACTAAATATTTTGGAAAAACTAATAACAACTTTTTAGTAGGGACTCTAGACAATTTTCCTTTATACTTTTTATACAGCAAATATGTATTTATAATTTAAAAACAAGATTAAATAGGTGTACTTATACAAAACTTTCAAATATACGTAAATGCATATACAAAGATTATGGTGCAGTTAATGCACTGGCTAAATGAAAGATGGTTTGAATTTACCCAGAGATGCCTTGGAAAAAGCCCTGGCAGTCTACTTCCAAACAGTCAGCCATTGAAAACCCTATGGAGTGCAGATCTACTTTGGCACACATGGGATCATCACAAACCAAAAAAACTTCCTGGCACCAAGTCTATTCTGAGGCATAGTGACCCTCATTGGGTTTCTGAGGCGGTAAATCTTTACAGAAGTAGATTGCCCCATTTTCCTTCTGTGGAGCAGCTGGTGGATTTGAACTGCTGACCTTCTTGTTAGCAGCTAAATGCTTTATCCACTAAACCACCATAAGTCAAAATCAATTCCATAACAACTCGTTTGGTGGGTTTGGGTTTTTTGTTGTGGTTGTTATCACTCATACATCTTAATATTCTGTAAAAATTTATAGTAAGTGTGTACAAAAAAAAAAAAAACCAACTCACTGCCATCTAGTCAGTTTGACTCTTAGCAACCCCTCCTTGGGTTTTGAAGCTGTCTCTATGGAACTAGATTGCCCAATCTTCCTTCTGAGGAGTGGCTGGTGGGTTTGAACTGCCAGCCTTCTGGTTAGCAGTCAGATGCCTTACACACTGTGTCACCAGAGCTCTTGCAAGTGTGTGTAATATAATCAAACAAAGGGTTTTTCATGTAAACACATTTTAGTGTTATAAATTCCATTGACTGCATATGTAATTATTTTTTTATTAGAGGTGAGCATTGCATTATATTCCAGCATTTGTATTATATTCCTTGGGAAGTGGCATTACCACAGATAGCTTCCCTCCCCACCCCCAGCAGTGTCTGAGAGTGTCACTCATCACACAGCCCTGGCGGATGAGTGGTTTTTAACCTTTTAATAGTACGAGAGGTAAAAAAAAAAGGTATCTTGATGTTAGGTGTCGGGTTCTAACAGTACATTCCTTTGATTGTTAGTGACAGTTCATTTTCTGGAAGGAATAGGACCCTCAGTTTCCAGCCATCTTAAGCACATTTCAGACAGGACTCTGTTTCCCTACTTTCAACTTTGGAGGCCCCTCAACTGCTGCCCCCTCTCCCTGCTCATCTAGGATCTGGTTTCCATGTCATATGACCATATAATAACTCTGTCATTTCTCCCTAATCCCAGTTCCATGTCTGTGACAAGGTTGGAGGCTGACCTGCAAGCCAAGATCCAAGAGAACTATCCTGAATTACAACGTGTGTACTTTAACAAAGGATTATAAAGTAGGAAACGGAACCTCTGAGGCTAATCCTGCCCACCACACACTTGGTGTAGGCATAGTCACAAGGAAAATCTTGTTTGACCTGTGTTCTCCTAATCAAGAGCCATGTTAGCCTTGTAGAGGAATGCTGCTACTTAGGGCACAGCACAGCACCTAGTGTAGCCAGGTGCTCAACACCTATTGGGCCTTTCCAGTTGAATCATGGAATTTAAAGAAATCCCCTTCCCATAGCTTTTATAGTCATTGTTTTTCAAAGATAATGTCCTAGCCCACACCCAGGATTTTAAAAAGCACTGCTAGGCATAGAGTAGGTGCTCAGTATATATTCAATAAATATTATCAATCAATGAAAAGTAAGTCTATTTAAAATACTGAATTTTCATCCCACTCATGTTTCAAATCAAGGAGATCTCAGAAGTAATTTAGGAAAAGACAAAAATTCTGAGGCCAAACTAAATATTACCCTTAAGAATAGTTTGGGCAGTGGACAGGTCCCAAGTAGATGATGTATATTTTGGATTTTTAGCATAAAGCCACCTTCTTAGACCTTCCAAAGTAATAGTAATAGATCAGGGTGGTAAGACTTCCCTGCTGCCAACAACTAAATGCATCCATATTGTTGGTGGATTTTTTTGGAGGACTGTGAAATTTATTCTGTTTTAAATTCTTATGACAATGTAGACCTTGTCTTGCAGTTCACTGACTTTAACTCGATTGTCTGCTTCAAATAATCAAAAAGATGAAATTTACAAATGTCCCATTTTGATAGGCTATCCAATACCAATGCTGAATGACTGGGTCGAATCTGGCTGAATCTGGCCTGGCTCATGGTTTAGATAGTCTGGCCACCTCCCTGTCTTTTCTTATTGTCTTCATAGATTTCGTTGACCTTCAGAAACACCCAGAGATTATGTATTTATGAATCAATAGCTAAATGAATTTGACTTGAATATTGTACATTACATTCCACCCTGATTGAAAGTAATGAGTCCATATACCACTGTTTACAGTATCTGTAGTGATTCCACATATACTTTATTTAATATAATAGATTGTTTCGAGTATGTCAGTGTTCAAAGTGATAATGTAAAGTGCTTGTTTCATTGAGTGTTGATCATGTTAAGCAAAAAAAAAAAAAATGTAGAAATTGATTTAGTTTGGACAGATTTTCCAGACAATGTGACCAGACTGAATTTCCTCATAAAGAAAAAATGGTGTGCCTTGTGTCTGTGCTTCTCTTTTCTCTGAAAGGATTAATGGATCTGAAATTTTGGATGACTTTGAGCCTTTCTTTATGTCACCAGAATTTTCTCCTGTACAATTTGCATCTTAACCCGTCTGAAGCAAAACAGCTTCCCCATGACATGCTGGCCTTGGGTGTATTTTGTGGCCATAGATGGTTCTCTTTAAAAAATGGTATAAGCCTAGAATTCAAGACAGATCTCCATGAGCTACCTAAGGGTGCTTTTAGCAAAAGGCAGCATTCAGAGCACTTGAGTGTCTGCCTACCCCACTCACCCCCACTAACCTCAGAATCCTTACACCAGTTAATTTGTAGCTACATTTCAGAATAATAACCATCTTAATTGAAAGATTAATGAACTAACTAAAACTGTACATACACAAGGAAGATAGGACCAAAGCATACTTACAAGAGGAATATTGAAAATGGAGATGTATCTTTTTAAAAATTGTTTATTGATGCTTCAGACTCTTTTATATAGAAATATTAACTATAGTTTAATTGTGGTTTATAATTTAAAAAAAAAAAAAAAAGAAGAAGAACAAATGAACCCAGATTGGCAGTCTTTGCTGATCTAGAAATACCTTTCAGGGGGAAAAATCCAATGAAGTGCAATAAGTTTGTAATAATAGTTATTGATGTTTTATTAACATGATATAGAGTGGTGATTGTAAGTACTTACAACTGGCAGTGTTTACTTCAGTATTAGCACAGTGTCTGGCCAGTATTGGAGTCTATGTGTTACTTCAGTTCAACTGGATGAAATGTTAAATAAACTCAGAATGAAATTAAATTCTCTCTTTTGTTTGTATTTAAAGGATCATGCAGTTTCTATGTTGCAGTCAATGGTACCTCCCATTCAAACTGGTACCATCAGTAATTCCTAATAAAGCGACTTTTGTATGGTGCCTTTAACAGGAAATAGGTTTCTTGTTTGGGCTACCAGTCCCTCACCTTCATGAACACAGTACATACAGGTTGCACACCCCCTGTACCACACCATTGCTATTGCAGGAACAGTAATTATGAACCAAGGCGAGATAATGAGCTTCTACTTCAGACTTCGATGACTAACACACACATAGTGGTGAGTTCTATTTGCTTTGACATTGCTTATCAGATTCTTAGAGGGAAAGAGCATTTGCCAGGGTTACAACCAGAGAAAGTCTAAATTAACCCAAGATTGAGAAATGGCTTACCAATAGATTTATTAAAGAACTGAGCATTTGGTCATGTCTCTGCATCTATTTTGCTACTGTAACTAAGTCACTTAAATGATTTAACTCTGTTTGGGAGCATGAGTTCAGACCCAGGCCCAGTCTTGGTGTACTCACTTATAAAATGTATGCTTTGGGGCCAATGATATTCTCTGTAATCTGCAATTTTTTGCCTTTTGTCTATTTTGGTTATATCTACCTCACAGAGTTGTAAACATGAAATAAGAGGATCCCTGTACACCAGTTAGCATACTGCCTGGCACACTGTAAACGTTCAGTAAATGCTCCCCAGCTGTATACCTGCTCTAGAGACACTGGGCATGCATTCAAAATGCCAGTATGCTAATGGTAACATTTCAGAGTCCCTAGAGGTGACTCACAACTTAATGAAAAATAAGAGATCAGAATGGTCAAATGGAGACACTTGAACCCATCCTTTAAAAATGTCTTAACAATTAAGTTTGCCTGAGACAAAGGTAGGAAAGGCCTGTGTTCACAGATGAGAAAGCCTGGGCTTCTAGGAGTGAGGCGCCTGCTCAAGACTGCTCCTGGTCCCATGGAAAATATCCTGAACCCCAAAGCTGCAGCCCTGTCCAACATTACCACTGGAATGCTATAATAAAATGAGTTTTCTCCCATGTAATCACAATGTCTGAGTTGGAGCCAACTTGGCACCTCTAACAATAACATAGCTTCAAGGCAAGTTGAGGAAAAATAAGATTACATTTGGTGATGATGAGATAATAGAAGATAGAGATAAACAAACAGATAAAAAGGTGGCTGGATAGATAAATAGATAGAAGGATAGATAGCTGCCATTGAGTTGACTCACTCATAGTGGCCTTATGTACAACAGAATGACATGTTGCTCAGTCCTGAGCTATTCTTACAATTGCCAGCATGTTCAAATCCATCATTGCAGTTATTTTGCCAATCCATCTCACCAGGTCTCCCTCACCCTCACCGGCCCACTATTTCACATGACATGGTGTTCTCCTCTAGCAATTTATCCCTCCTGATGAGGTATCCAATGAAAGTCAGTGATCCATGAGCCTTTCTTCCTAGTCTGTCTCAGTCTGGAAGATCTGAAATTCCATGGGTGACCCTGCTGGTATCTGAAATACCAGTGATACAGCTTCCAGCATCATAGCAACACACAAGCCACCACAGTATAGCAAGGCGATAGACAGCAGGTAGTATGATGATGTTGTTATGTGCCCTTGAGTTGCACCCAACTCATAGCGACCCCTCCTTGGGTTTCCGAGGCAGTATCCACTAAGAACTGGTGAAGAACAAGGCTCCGGGAATTGATGGCATACCGATTGAGATATTTCAACAAACAGATGCCCCATTGGAGGCACTCACTCAGTTATGCCAAGAGATTTGGAGGACAGCTACCTGGCCAACTGACTGGAAGACATATTTGTGCCCATTCCAAAGAAAGGTGATCCCACAGAATGTAGAAATTATAGAACAATATCATTAATATCACATGCAAGTAAGATATTACTGAAGATAATTCAGAAACGTTTGCAGCAGTATATTGATAGAGAACTTCCAGATGTTCAAGCCAGATTCAGAAGAGGACGTGGAACAAGGGATATCATAGCTGTTGTCAGATGGATCTTGGCTCAAGGCAAAGAATACCAGAAAGATGTTTACTTGTGTTTTATTGACTATGCAAAGGCATTTGATTGTGTGGATCATGACAAATTATGGATAACATTGAGAAGAATGGGAATCCCTGAGCACTTGATTGTACTCATGAGGAATCTGTACCTTGACCAGGAGGCTGTCGTTCGAACAGTACAAGGGGACACTACATGGTTTAAAATCAAGAAGGGAGTGTGTCAGGGTTGTATCCTTTCTCCACACTTATTCAATCTATATGCTGAGCAAATAATCTGAGAAGCTGGACTATATGAAGAAAAACGTGGTATCAGGATTGGAGGAAGAATCATTAACAACCTGAGATACGCAGACGATAAAACTTTGCTTGCTGAAAGTGAGGATGACTTAAGGCACCTACTGATGAAGGTTGAAGAATACAGTCTGCAGTATGGATTACATCTCAACATAAACAAAAATCCTCACGACTGGACCAATGAGCAGCATCACAATAAATGGAGAGAAGATTGAGGTTGTCAAGGAATTCACGTTGTTTGGTTCTACAATCAATGCCAACGGAAGCAGCAGTCAGGACATTAGATGATGTGTAGCACTGGGGAAGTCAACTGTGAAGGAACTGTTTCAAGTGCTGAGGAGCAAGGATATCTCCTTGAGGACTAAGGTGCGCCTGACACAAGCCATGATATTTCCAATCGCCTGGTATGCATGTGAGAGCTGGACAATGAATAAGGAAGACTGAAGAAGAGTTGATGCTTTTGAGTTGTGGTGCTGGCGAAGAATGCTGAAAGTACCGTGGACTGCTAAAAGAACTAACAGATCTGTCCTGGAGGAAGTGCAGCCAGAATGCTCCTTGGAAGCAAGAATGGCCAGACTTCGTCTCACCTATTTTGGTCATGTTGTAAGAAGGGACC